TTTTTGTTAATATTTATTCTTCATATAACTAAATAATTTTATATTTTTCGTTTAAATACTGATAACGAACATTTTAAGACTGTTGTCTTATACAATCTGACTTTCATATGATATGGAATCACAATTTTTCATCACATATTTAAGAACCTATTAATTCTAGGAAATGTCTATAAAAGTCGTTTTTAAGAGTAGGCTGTTTAACCTTTGTAATTATCATCTTTTAGTCAATTAACATCATAAAAGTCAATCTTTTGTAAATAAAGCCTATTGGCTTAAGCACATCCGCGGAAGCTTCAAGTAATTAATTTTTAACATTAATTAATGTAGTTTTTGTTTAATGATATTTTACTGTAACTATCATTAACACAAATTCAAATAAGCAAACATTTTCACGTGAGGGACATATATCTAAAAAAAAACGAGATTGGTGACATCTATTTTTGCCTAAAATCTTTTATCATTTTTTAATATCGTAAAGAAATTTTTATCAACAGTTAAACGAACATTTTTACTTGTCTAGAATTGAAAGTAATTGCGATGTTAGTTTTTATTGCACTAATGGGTCTCAAGTGGGATATGGAACTCATTAAGTATTTTTCTCTCCACTTTACGCATGGTTTGCATGAAGAACTTATAAATGGAAACTTCAGCTGAAACGATGCACCTATTTCAATTAGAATATCGTATATATGATATGTTCCAAATGTTAAATAATATAGATTAATATTTAAATAAAAAAATATGCAATTTAGTATACAGATTTCAAATGAAAGACAAAATGTTTTAACACCTATGTTTATTGAAATATCATTATATAAAATTCATTTACTCTTCTTTATGTAACCCTAAATACGCAAGGAAAAGGAAAACATTCATATCATTTATCAACATTTGTTATTCTTTAGATTATATTTTACAGTAACAAGAATTATCATATTTTTCACAGAAGTATCCTTTTAGGGGAAATATGCGCATGTCAAGATTAACGATGTCCCCGTTTATGGTGGTTCATACACAAGTCCCCAATTGACACAGTTGACATGTATATGCGTGCGTGCGTGTGTTCTTTATGCCTCCTGTTATGGGACATATAGTGTTATATATATGTTCTTGCTTGCGTGCGAGTGTTCGAAAAAGTATATTCTTCGTGTGTGGGCCATGATTGATGTAATTTAGGAAATAGGCACACCTGACCACCATTAGTTGACAATTTGCATGCGCACCAAGATCACATGCTTAAAGGTTAAGGTTAAAACTGTTGTTAGAGCTTGTGTACTTGTCATTGTGGTATGCAAAAATGTCAGGGGCATGCGTGTTTTATGGACACAGTTTTAGTTTCTGTTTCAAAACAGGTTCAAAACAGGTATGATATCTAAATAGGACTTGTATATGTTTATGTCGTTGCTAAAGTATAATATCATTATGCCATACATTCTTTGCTTAAAGATCTTTTCCCAATTTTCTGCGTCTAAACCGAACATAAAATTGTCATTTATAGCATGTTAATGATTTAAGTTTCAAGTTGCATTACACAATGCAGTTATACGATGTAGTCATGCTGATACCTTTCTGACAACAACACTGAAGTTAAAAAGAAAACTTTGTTATTTATACATGAAAAGAGGAATTCTTGTATAATTTCAGGCAAATCTCCAGATGGCTCGGGTGTCAACAGTGCCACGAAACACAGCGGATTTCCGATTATAGTGTTTTTTGTGCTTTTTCTAACCATAAAAAATAGATTTTAAAGGGGACATAAAATTGTCATTTATAGCATGTTAATGTTTTAAAGTTTAAATTTGTTTTAGCAAAGCATTTAAAACGATGTAGTATGCTATCCCTTTCTGACAAAAAACTGAAGTTAAAAAGAAAACTTTGTTATTTATACATGAAAAGAGGAATTCTTGTATAATTTCAGGCAAATCTCCAGATGGCTCGGGTGTCAACAGTGCCACGAAACACAGCGGATTTCCGATTATAGTGTTTTTTGTGCTTTTTCTAACCATAAAAAATAGATTTTAAAGGGGGGGGGGGGGTCGGTGAGTTGTTGAGATTATCATCGCAACCATAAATATCAATATTCTTAAGACATGCGATACAAGATGATTTCTTCCGTCGGGCAATATTTGAATAATATTTTCATTGTACATAACTCATCGCCGGTGTAAAACAAAAATATTTTAGTTCGATTTACATAGAAATTGTAAATTCAGAGCGTATTTTAATCTTACTGTTAATGCAAATAATCAGAGGTCGTTACACATGGCAGAAAGCCACTATTGTCAGATTTACGTTGACACATTCACTAAATCTGTTTCAACGCTAAACATTTTATAATGTGCACTATTTTAAAGTAAATGAATACCCCTATGCCTTACTTGCTTTTAATTAAAATACAATATGTTGATATCAACAATCGGACATTTACTTCAAATCTGAGTTATATTTTCATATACGCATGTCGTATTAATAAACAAGAGGGCCATGATGGCCCTGAGGTCGCTCACCTGTATATAGCCCCCCCCCCCGGCCCAATTTTTACCCAAGGGCTTTTATTTGTTTATTTGAACAGACTTGGTAGACACCCATAAGAAGATGTTTCATGCAAAACATCTAAGTTCTAGCTCATTGGGTTTTTTAAAAGAAGATTTTTTAAGTTTTTACTATACACATATAGTTAAAAACAATGACACCCCTCGGGCAGGGCCAGTTTTGACCCCTGGGCTTTTATTTGAACAAACTTTGTAGATATTTACTTAAAGATGTTTCATGCTTAATATCTAAAATCTAGTTATTTGGGTTTTTTCAAAGAAGATTTTCAACTTTTTGCTATGTATATAAGGAAAATCAATGACCCCCGGGGTGGGGCCAGTTTTGACCCCAGGGCTTTTATTTGAACATACTTGGTAGACACCCATTAGAACATGTCTCATGCTAAATATCTTAGCTCTAGCTCTTTAGGTTCTTTAAAAGAAGATTTTATAAGTTTTTACTATATGCATATAGGGAAAATCAATGACCCCAGGGCTTTTATTTGAACAAACTTGGTAGACATTTACTAGAAGATGTTTTATGCCAAATATCTAAGCTCTAGCTCTAACGGTTCTTTAAAAGAAGATTTTTTAAGTTTTTACTATATGCATATAGGGAAAATCAATTACCCCCCAGGGCCGGGCCAATTTTGACCCCAGGGCTTTTATTTGAACAAACTTGGTAGACATTCACTAGAAGATGTTTCATGCCAAATATCTTAGCTCTAGCTCTTTGGGTTCTTTAAAAGAAGATTTTTTAAGTTTTTACTTTATGCATATAGGGAAAATCAATGACCCCCTGGGGCGGGGCCAATTTGGACCCCAGGGCTTTTATTTGAACAAACTTGGTAGACATTTACTAGAAGATGTTTTATGCCAAATATCTAAGCTCTAGCTCTTACGGTTCTTTAAAAGAAGATTTTTTTAAGTTTTTACTATATGCATATAGGGAAAATCAATTACCCCCCAGGGCCGGGCCAATTTTGACCCCAGGGCTTTTATTTGAACAAACTTGGTAGACATTTACTAGAAGATGTTTTATGCCAAATATCTAAGCTCTAGCTCTTACGGTTCTTTAAAAGAAGATTTTTTAAGTTTTTACTATATGCATATAGGGAAAATCAATTACCCCCAAGGGCCGGGCCAATTTTGACCCCAGGGCTTTTATTTGAACAAACTTGGTAGACATTCACTAGAAGATGTTTCATTGCCAAATATCTTAGCTCTAGCTCTTTGGGTTCTTTAAAAGAAGATTTTTTAAGTTTTTACTTTATGCATATAGGGAAAATCAATGACCCCCTGAGGCGGGGCCAATTTGGACCCCAGGGCTTTTATTTGAACAAACTTGGTAGACATTCACTAGAAGATGTTTCATGCCAAATATCTAAGCTCTAGCTCTTACAGTTCTTTAAAAGAAGATTTTTTAAGTTTTTACTATATGCATATAGGGAAAATCAATGACCCCCTGGGGCGGGGCCAATTTTGACCCCAGGGCTTTTATTTGAACAAACTTGGTAGACATTTACTAGAAGATGTTTATGCCAAAATATCTAAAGCTCTAGCTCTTACGGTTCTTTAAAGAAGATTTTTTTAAGTTTTTACTATATGCATATAGGGAAAATCAATTACCCCCCAGGGCCGGGCCAATTTTGACCCCAGGGCTTTTATTTGAACAAACTTGGTAGACATTCACTAGAAGATGTTTCATGCCAAATATCTAAGCTCTAGCTCTTTGGGTTCTTTAAAAGAAGATTTTTTAAGTGTTTACTTTATGCAAATAGGGAAAATCAATGACCCCCTGGGGCGGGGCCAATTTTGACCCCAGGGCTTTTATTTGAACAAACTTGGTAGACATTCACTAGAAAATGTTTCATGCCAAATATCTAAGCTCTAGCTCTTACAGTTCTTTAAAAGAAGATTTTTTAAGTTTTTACTATATGCATATAGGGAAAATCAATGACCCCCCGGGGCGGGGCCAATATTGACCCCGGGGCTTTTATTTCAACAAACTTGGTAGACACTCATTAGAAGATGTTTCATGCCAAATATCTAAGCTCTAGCTCTTAGGGTTGTTTAAAAGAAGATATTTAAAGATTTTTCTTTCGGTTGCCATGGCAACCAGAGTTCTGCATGGAATTAAATTCTTTGAACAATTTTTAAAGGTGACCACCAAAGGAACATTCCTGTGAAGTTTGGATGAAATTGGCTCAGTGGTTTATGAGGAGATGTCATTTAAAGCAAAAGTTTACGGACGGACGACGGACGACGGACGGACGACGGACGGACGGACGGACGCCGGACGAAAAGCGATCACAAAAGCTCACCCTGTCACTTTGTGACAGGTGAGCTAAAAACTAATGTTTTGGTACTATATTTATGGTTGCGATGATAATCTCAACAACTGACCGCTTTAAATTATTCATATTAACCATATTGACAGTCAAATTACTACTACAAATTTAATACAAATAGCATTTCTAATAGTTTTATTACATATAATAATTAGGTTTTGCACATTCACAGTAACAAAAGTGGCAAGCATACAGTGTGCATACAAAGACAGATATTAAAGCTTATTTCTGAACCAGCAGAAATACAATATGACATGAAAATGAACAATTTCATTCAAACATAAAGAACTGATTATTATCAATATTAAATAAAGTAGTTCATACATACATTAAATTATAAAGGGAGAGAAACACAATTCCTTCAGATAGGTATTTGTCCAAAATATCTGTATCTTATATTATGGAAAGATTATTACATACAAAATAATTTTATTGACAGTAACTTATATATTGTATTAGTTCCTAATGATTGACTATTACACAGAGATACACATGTACATGGCACAATGGTGTAAATTGTCTGATACCCAGCACTAATAATAATTAGACAACCAGTATAAAACCAGGCTAACACACGTCCATAACTATAATATATCATTAAGTTAAGCACCATTTTGTAACAATATTTCTTCACTAGAAAAACATATATCTTAAATTATTCTCTTTCCTTGACAAAGAAAAGATAATGTGTGATTAGTAAACAGTCCTGAAATTTGCATAATATGCAAACTAACACAATATTCACTTTCTCAATAAAATTGTTTGTCTTTAATTAAAATAAAAACACAGACATGCAAAAAGTTATTTCTTAGGTATTATCAATGTGAAAACATTCATTTTAGGGTGTGTTTAAAACATATATAGATCAATTATATGAAATAATCAAATATAAACAACGTTTGAGCATTGATTTTGTAATCTTGTAACTAATTTACACTACCAAAATTGCATAGTGCACAAAAATATTATATGAGTATTTCCAAAAACAAAGTTACATAAATATAAGTCTACTTTTATGAAACATGAATTGTTCCTTTGTTTGATCTATTTGTAAAGTTATTATTTCTTGTGTTCATATAATGATAGGTCCCTTTCTTGAATTTTAGAACTGCTCCCTGAAATGAAGCTGGGGCGTTGTCTAACTGGTTTTGTAGAGGTGTTGTTTTGGTCTCTACAATAAAGTCCCTGTGCTCTGGCTCTTTGCAAGATGATTTCTTAAAACATCTACAAAACAAAACCGTGTTCTATACATACTAAGAAAACCAATTTTTCCCTGGGCAGGGAATTTGACCCAAGTAATGGTCCATAAGATGATATTCCATGTCTAATATTTAGGCTCTAGCCCTTGGGATTTCAGAAATGTAGATACTATAAACATGTAAGGAAAACCTATGACCCCTCCCCTAAGCAGGGCCATTTATGACCAAAGAACATTTTTGGTAGATATCAATAAGATGGTGTTTAATGCCAAATATGTAAACTCTAGCACTTGAGGTCCAAAAAAGATTTTTGAAGTGTTTACTAAAATCATATATATATATAAAGTTCTAGGTCTTGTACAATTGACAATTGAAATGTACATTTATAAGACCAATTTTGGCACCCTAACCTTTCATGCAACCAACTAGAACAGTCTGAAAAACTTTTATATGGGAACACCAAAGGATCATTTCAGATAGATTGAAGATGTTTTTTTTTAAAGAAATTGTTGACAATGAACAACAGACATTGATGGACTACAAAAGAGGGGGATCACAATAGCTCACCATGAGCATGTTGTGCTTAGATGAGGTTTTATTAAAATTTAGCCAACAACAGTATAGAACTATGTCGGACTGAGCAAACGTGATGGACTGTCCTCACTCTTGCAGCAAAGGCTTAATCGTTTCTAGTTCAAGCAGTTTAAAGGTAAATGTACAGGCTAGAACAAGGACAGAACCAAACAACCTGTGCTCTGACTGAATGGTTTTCCTATATTCAAGAATTTAAAGAATTTTACAAAATATGCGAGAGATATCAATCACTAAATAATATACTCGGCCATTCTCCTACTTAAGTGCTTAAATAAATGCAATTTAAGCTCACAAGATCCCCTGAGGCCAAGCTTTTAATTTGACAAATTTCATTTTAAACTTTTGTAAAAAAACAGGTTTATATAATAAAAAAAAAAAATAAAATTAAGATTATTTTTATAAAGCAATTTTTACCTTAATATCCCGAAGATGCCCCTTTTTGAGCAAAACTTTTGGGGGATAAACTGTCTCCCATGAAAAATCCAAACAACATCCGCATTTTTCCACATTGTCGTCTGCTCATATGGAAGAGGAAAATTGTCATTGAGGTCACCAATCTGTGCCATGTTGTTTCTGTCCGAGCCTAGAAAATAGTATATTGTTAATGAATTGAAAGTAGACACTACCACAACCTAAATATATGTTTCATTACAGATTTTATTGTTTAAATCTAGAAAAATTAATTTAAATTGCTGAATAGACACAAAGAAAATGTTTGACGGCAACAGTTTTTTAAGATTTGGTTTTTAACCCTTATAAATAAAATACAAAAAAGGTCCAAAATGGGTAAACAAAAAATTTAAAAATAGGGGGGCTTTTTGGGTTTTGCCCAAAGGCATACTTTTGGAAAAATGGGAAGGGGAGGAAATGGTTATTTAAATACCCTCTTTTTTGGAAGATATTTGTTTGGGCCCCTCAATGCCCTTTCCTTAAACATCACCTGCCTGGGGCCCCCTAAACCAAGGGTGGGGGTTTTTAATTTTGTGTGTTGGGAACCTTTTAAAAAGGGGTAATTTATTAATAATTTTGGGTTTAAAAAAAGATTTCAATTTTCATGTGGGAATTCTTTCAAAAAAGAAAAACCAAAAAATTAAATTTTTACAGATGACATAGTTTTATAGACATAGTTTGTTATTCTGTGACAGTGTTAAACTGGTTTTGTGTTGACACTTCATAAATGTTTGAAAAATGAGCTACATTAAAGGTTTTGCAAGACAAAACAAGAGCACCGCTAGGCGGAGCATTATATATCCGAAAGTGATTTTTTTTAGTAAAGATAAAGCATTTGTAAGATAAAGTACTACCTCCTTCAAATAACAATCCTCCTATGAAGTTTGAATATTGTGGGCCAAATGGAACTAAAGTTATGCTCCGGAAACTGTTTTCAGTTTAAAAGTAATAGTGACCTTTGACCTCAAAATCAATAGGGGTCTTCTACCCAATATGGACAAACATCCTATGAAGTTTGAATATTGTGGACCAAATGGACCTTAAGTAATGTTCCAGAAACTGTTTTCAATTTCTAAGTAATAATGACCTTTGACCTTTTGACCCCAAAATCAATAGGGGTGTTCTTACCCATATGGACAATCATCCTTATGGCAAGTTTTGTTTTTTTTTAAACACTTGTGGGCATGGAACCAGAGCTTCGGTAACGTTTTTCAGTTTTACGGAAAACCGACCGACCCCAAAATCAATAGGGGCTTCCACCCAATTATGGACAAACCACCAAAATTGGATATTTGTGGGACCAAATGGAACTTAAGCTAATTTGTTCCAGAAACTTTTCAATTTTTAAGTAATAGTGGGCCCTTTGACCTTTTTGACCCCAAAAATCAATAGGGGTCTTCTACCCAATATGGACATCATCCTATGGGAAGTTTGAAAACACTGTGGGCCAAAAATGTAACTTCAGTTTATGCTCTTTGAAAACGGTTTTCAGTTTTTTTAAAGGTAATAAGTGAACCCCTTGGACCCTTTTGACCCTTGTTTGAACCCCAAATAATTGGGGTCTTCTTACCCATAAAACAATCATCCAAGGAAAGTTTTGGAAACACTGTGAAAGCCCAAATAGAAAACTTCAGAATTTATTGCTCCAGGGGAATGTTTTCATTTTTTAAGGTAATGGACCTTAACCTTTGACCTTGTGACCCCAAAATCATTAGGGGTCTTCTACCCAATATGGACAAACATCCTTTGAAGTTTGAATATTGTGGACCAAATGAAACTTAAGTAATGTTCCAGAAACTGTTTTCAATTACTAAGTAATAGTGACCTTTGACCTTTTGACCCCAAAATCAATAGGGGTCTTCTACCCAATCTACCCTTTGATCTTTTTGGCCATTTTTAGACACACAAGGCTTAAAAAAAAGAGACACACAAGTAAAAACGAAATGAATAGGATCAAAGAGAATTTACAGTTACCCATTGTTTTCCAAGTCACACAAGTACCTCTGGGTTTGTACGGACAGACGGACGTGTCACTTAAATGGACTAAAGGGCCATTTCTTTTGTTATTTTCTTTTGTTTAATAGAGGGCCATGGCCCCTTATTCTATTGTTATGGAATGAACTCTATTGTTCTCTTTTGTTCTGTTTACAGTTAGATGGCCCCCTACTTATAACATAATATAACATATAAAAAAGAATAACAATATTTATTTTATCTATTTCATAGAATTTACTAAAGAAGGTTCAGTCTATATGCTTGATATCAAATCAGTATTAAGAAAGTCATATCTTTTATATCATATATTTTTTTTGAAATGTAAAATTAAAACACTATAAAAGTATTCATTTTATAAAGAATATCAAGTTAGTTTGATACATCTTGTATCACTGAATAAACATATATACTAACATCCATGGTAACCCAGGCTATTTATTTTATATCAATATTAAAGGAATGTGAAAGGGTTACGACAATAATAATAATTACACAAATTTAAAGAGGTTATTTAACATTATTAAAAGGTGAACAAGTAACTGGTGATAAGTGGTGAGAGATTTAGCAAAATGTGTCTCTCTTACTTAACAAATTAATTACATTTATAAATGAAAACAGAAATATATACTACCTTGAAATTGACCATCATTATTCTGTTCAGTTTTTGTCTTACTTTCACAATAACTTTACAAACTTTAAATAGCCTTACATAGCTTAATTTTTACCCTTTAAGTCAATACCAACCTGTCCATTGTATATGCACCAAATCTGTTGGAGAGATATGTAAATGATTGGGTGTAAAGTCATATTCCACAGCTGGATACACCTGCACAATATTTCCTCTCTTACCACGAACATTTAAGTTTAATATACGCTCCCGTTCAAGACCTTTTGGGCGTGGCATAAGTCTAAATATGTGTGTTCTATCCTGATAAAGACAAGATACTGGTTACTAATTTATACTGATCTTTTCAAATGTTAGCAAAACAGCCATGTTTAAAAAAGGGAAACTCAGAAGGAAAATCTTTTGGATCTAACATAATAAATCTTTTCTCATACCTACAGATAACAAAACAATAAAAGCTTTAAAACTTTTTATCAACCCTAGTACAAACTTTATAAATTTTCAGAACACAGTACATTTTATTCATAATTACATATAATATATTACATGATATAGTAAATATCTATAGGCAATATAACTCTTCAAGTAAGTAAACAATTGTTTAACTTTATTATACTCATGTTTGATTTTCATTAGACAAATAGGACTTTCCTATTATTTATATACACATGGCTGCTGCAAATTTATGCATTAATTCATTTCTGTAATCAAAGAAGTAATTGTGTAGTATTTTAAAGACAGGATATATTGATATATATATATAAACAGTAGCTTGTCTGGCAGCTTAGGTTTTATAAGCTTACAACAGGTTCATATTGAACTATATAAACTGTCAAATATGTTTAAACTTATTCAGTTTGACATCAACAGATTATACATAGTTTGTACCTGAAATTTCCTTTAAATTGACTCAGTATAGTACAAGTAATATCTGTTTTATTTCAACATTAGCATATGTAAATATACAAATAAAACTTTTTACCTGAAAAACCCTGCCTGTCTGATCAGTATTTAATGCCATCTGTAGATTAGTAGGGCCACCAACATCTATCTCTGTATTATCCTGTACTGGCGATACAATATTCAGACGTCTGTTGGCATTCTGGCTGGCATTGGTATTGTATGGATCATAATCATCTGTTGATATGTTATATCTGTAAACATGTTATAAATATATTAGCTCATTTATCAGTAAAACCTGATCACAAAGGCCAGGTCAAAGGAATTAAAAATTTTGGTCCTATATTGGTATGTCCTTTTCCTTTGCAGCCATTGCAAAACTATATTTGTCATTTTTGACTTTAAACAACATATTTATGATTTATCACTGACCATTAAAGTGAAAAACATCAACACAGTGTCAAGGCTTTTCCATGGGTAGAACCACTGACCTTCTGTAACTGACTGGATAGTTTCCCTATATGTCATGAAAATGTTTGTACAAAGCATTAAGCATGTTATGTTAAAGATTTATATCATATTATCACATTTTACCTCATTCTTAAAACACATTTATGTTCATGGCCTGATGGGAAATATGGAAGAGTCCATGTATAAGTCAGTGGTTGTCCATCACCTCTTCCATTACCTAAATGGTTTGATCTGTAAAAGAATAGTAAATTTCCTTTGTCATATACATTTATCTGGTTTCATTTATTCACTGAAACAGTTTAATCACTAATTCAATACTAACTTTCTCACACTCATCAGTTTTGAGTACATTTTTGTTTTATCAGAATAACTATATAATTACAGCTTGAGATACCGGTAACATCTATTCTTTTTATAGTAAAATATTAGTAATTAACATCACTGACCTTGACCAGGGAGCGTCATAACAATCTGGTGTTTCCAAGGCAACCAGACATTGTTTCTTGGTGACATCTTCTGCATCATATGGCACTGCCCATATATATTTTACATTACCATTACTGGCAGACACACAACTTCCTTCAGTAGTATAACCTTTAAACATTTTATTACATTATTTCAATTATAGGAAAAGAGAAAAGTGATAAAGACCAAGGTCAATTTGACTTTGCAAAAGATTTTGCCAATATTTTCATAGCGACAGAAAATATGAGGTAAAGTAACTCACAAATTATTCTTTAACACAATTGCCTTTGTTCAAATTTTGGCCAGTAATTTGTGAGATTAAGCAATTTTGTAATTAACATAACATAATTATAGCAGACAACATTAGAGAGTATGGAGAGGCTTCAAAGACTTCTAGACTGTGTTAGGCAAGCAATGTATATGTAACCACATTAGCACTATACAATGAAAAATCAATTCACTTTTTTTTATATGTTATATGCCAAATTGTAAACTTCGACAAATATAAAACAAATTAAATTTTGTGATAAACCTTTTGATTGTAAGGCCTGTAAAAGGATGTTTCAATATTTGTAAGTGGAAGGAAAGGCTTTTATAAAGAATTCATTTTCTTTTTTTGAAAGCTATTTTTATCTTCAGAACAAAATAACAGTCCTATGATACCAGTATATCATTTATAGACTGAGTAAGTTTTACTCAATCATAATATTTCAATTTCTCAAACCCTTGAGCAGGTCAAGTTTAGAAAATAAATGTTACACATTTTGAAGGAAATATGAAAATATTACGTTTGGCTGCCTCAAGGTAGTTATGGAATAAAATCCATTGTCCACCATTATCTGTACATTGTTTTTCATTATTCCACCTTGATGAGTGTTTTGGTTTTCCCGGTGAATAAAACTCCACACATTTGTAGTAAGGCTGTACATTAAAACTGTTTTCTTGATAATGACTGAAACAGAATATAGATAGCATAAGCCAAGTGCACTGTGAGGGGCGAAAAGTGGTGTCTATTTTTTCCTGAAAGTGCACTTAATTTTTCAGATCATTACAATAATTCATTATTGTCAATTCATTTTTTCATATACATTCAATTCAAAAACCTGTAATACATAAAACAGGTCTAAAAATATAATTTTAAAACTTCCTTGACTATTTGATAAAAAATCCAGCTTCAACATTGTTAAATGATAAACATGCTGAATAAATTATATCATAATTATATACCTGCACATGGAACTATTTTCTGCTAGTACAGCGATATCCTTCCACTGGGTTGGATGCCAGTAAGGAAAGTAGTCCCTTTCTTCAGGACATTCGTAACCACGACGATTTCCATTAGGATTTTGTCTTGAGTAAATTGAACTGCTGACACCAAACTTGTTTTTCTTCAAATTCTGATCAGCAGTAAAAAGCCCTAGAAAAAAAATCATAGATTGAATCTCTCGTTTGATACAACACTACACTATGATAACATCTACTGCACAAAGTTACTTCATTTGCAGCATATTTGGATTTTATTTCCAAACCCCTCTAATATATAAACTTACAGTTATATTCAAGTTTGTATCTTATTCTAGTAGTTAGATAAAATAAAGTAAAACAATTCTTAACAAGAAACATGGCAATGCCACGAAACCAGCTTTTCAATTATCACCATTGTAGATAAATATGTTGTAGTTGAAATACAAATACAAGCAACAAATTGTAATTATGTGCAATGTAAATCATGAATAATGTAGGAGGAATTGCACACAGAAGAAGAATTCACTATATATTCTGTATAAGGAAAAAAAACAAAGGGACATAATTAGGTCAAATATAAAACAATCACAAAACCCTGACAATATGCCCCAGGGCACTTTGATGACAAAGCTTCTTGTGAAAGTTTGGTAAAAATCGTTAAAGAAATGAAGAGAGTTGCGCATAGAAGAAATTGTTCACTATATATTCTATATAAGGAAAAAAACAAAGGCCATAATTAGGTCAAACATTATCCAATCACAAAACCCCAACAATATGGGCCAGGACACTTGATGACAAGGGTTCTGTGAAAGTTTGGTCAAAATACGTTGAGAAATGTAGGAGAAGTTGCGTACAGAAGAAATTGTTCACTATATATTCTGTATAAGGAAAAAAAAACAAAGGGCCATAATTAGGTCAAATATTATCCAATCACAAAACCCCGACAATATGCGCCAGGGCACTTGATGACAAAGGTTCTGTGAAAGTTTGGTCAAAATCTGTTGAGAAATGTAGGAAGAGTTGTGCACAGAAGAAATTGTTTACGCCCGCCCGCCCATCCGACATACCTCAATCTAATAACCAGTTTTTTCCTTCTGAAAACCTGGTTAACCTTTTCCCTTATATAAGCGTGTTTCGACGGCTTTTTGCTGCCCCCCTTTTTGAGGCCTCAAACAGTGAAGAAATGCCCTATTTAGGCCCCCAAACACTGTTTTTTCGGGTTTTTTAGAAAGTTGTTTTTAAGAAAAAGTGGGACCCTTTTCGGGCGCCGTCCCCCATACAAAATATTTAACATTCAGGGGGTTGCCAAGAAGGGGGGATGGGCCCCCTTCTGTTTGGGGGGGCTTTGAAGGGGGGGCAGAGTCGCCCCTCATCGCCAAGAAAATTTTGGACATGTGACAGGCTAAAAATGGCCTCAGGTCAATCTTAGGGTAACTAGTAACCGACGCTGAAAAGCCTTTTACTCTATCTCAATTCATTGAGAAGTTGCAGCACTTTAAAATCAGTTTTGATGGAAAAAAAAACAATGCAAAATAGTGATTTTTGGCATGTATAGCAGATAATAGTGTTCTAGATTTTTTATCATCATATATATACACGGGAATGGAACCCCATATGTATATGTTGTTTCAACATTTGATTGATGCTGAACAGAGTGATCAGAAAAACTGGCTTACTTTACATGTATACATGTACTTTTATATAAACAAACTGAATTGAGGTAAATGCACTCAATGTGGCTCATTATTATTTTTATCAAATCTCTTTTCCATTACCATGATAGAATGGAAATAGATATTCAATTTTCATGCTCTACTTAAGAAATAATATATCCCAAACAGTGATTTTATCGCTCAATAACATCACTGTTTAGAGTTCGGATGCGAAGAATTATATCACGAGGGTGTAGCCCGAGTGACAAACAGTGATGTTATCCAGCGATAAAATCACCGTTTGGATATATTATTTCTATTCTAACACGACATCAATATATAAAGGGTGCCGTACCTAATATTAAGCAAAATTGCGCCTGATTTGTTTCTGTACTTATTTTCAATGCGTCAGATTTTTTAGTGGTTACGTCACATGGATAATGATGACGTCACATATTGAAATTTAGAACAGCAACAGTGCTTTTATTGCATAATAACACACACTTTCGGTTCTTCTATATTCAATAGGAAAAATTGCGGGTCGTGTTAGAATGTATAATAATGCATGTTTTCTCATTCAAATGCATTGTAATTAATTACTCAAGCCTATCGGCCTTAACAATTATATTTTTGTACACTTGAACTCAAACAGTGTGTTTTTTCTACAATAATGCACTCAGATTTCTATTTATTTCCTTAACAAGTGTGTATTCCCAAAGTGAGGAGGTCTTTAATACATAAATTCCATTATTACAAAAAGCAGAGAAGATTACCTAGATTTCGTTCTCTCACATAGCAGTCATCATACATTTCCCATGCTTCCTGCAACCCCCGTGATGTGTCCAGGGCCCCATTCTTTCTTGTAATGACCTGGGCTTTAGTCTCATCCATACCGGCTGGAGGAGTATACTCCATTGTTTGGGTTGATGTACCATCCCTTATCTGCTCTTTCAATGCTTAAAAAAAACAACATAATTATAATTATTTCCTGATATTTCCAATAGTTATCTCCCTTCCAATTTATACGAAATCATGTATTCTAGTAAAAATTCCAGCTGACATAATCTCAAATTGCATGATCTTAACTAGAGCAACTACTGGCAATATTTCCACTCACAATTGTTTATGTTGCATGCATATTTAAATGTGATATAACTAAATTATAACACTTTCATTACATCTGATGCAATAACCTGAATAATAATAATAATAATAATACATAAACAAAATATAACATAAACAAATAAAGTTTAAAGTACATACCAGGTATATTTTCCATAGCATCTTCACACATGTATTGTAGAACCATGTTACAATTTTGTTTTTGAGGGTCAGTGTCTTCATTGCCACCACATCCATGCTGATTGGTCCATTCTATTGTCAGTTGAGTGCCTCCATAGCCCGTTGCCTTATTTGCTGATGGTCCACTTTGAAAATAATGCTGAAACACCAACAATATATACAGTACAAGAATAACAACAAATAATTCTCATACATGTTCTTTAATTAGCTGAAGGACCACTTTGACAGATTAAGGGGCATCCATGGTCTAGTGGTTAAGGTCATTGACTTCAAACCACTATCCCCTCTCTGTCTCTGCAGGTTCAAATCAAACAAGGGACACTTAGCAAGTCTGTAGTTCTACTCAGTTCATGCCACAAAATAATGAACAAAGGGGCACCCGATGTCTTCCTCCATCAATAAAGATGGAAGTCAGCATATAACCTGTACATGTACTGTGTTAGTGCAAGCAAACCAGAAATGTATTCATCTTCACTGCCATTAATGCTATATTAATTTTCACAACAAAAATGAATCTGATCTTGATATAGACTTTAATAATTATCTTTTCATCATACTTTATTTTTGACAAAACATTTTGCAGTGGTTGTTCCAGAAAAAAAGTCACAGAATATTTAAAGGCAGTGGTGGCCAAAAAGGGTCAGATAGAACTAAGAATATTCCAACACCAGATATAGTCTGGTGATTGAAATAAGCTAATAAATTTGGGGGTTTCATTTTATCAAGAATAGAATTTGTTCCAAGTTATATAAACCCAAAAAGCATCTGACTACGTGACAGTTTCCATGATCATTTAATATGCACTTTTCTTTGAAGGACATGTGAAATTATTGAATCAACATCATGTTTTTATACTCTTTCTTTAGCTCATATCTCTCTATGTGCAGTAAAATTGGATTAACATCAAAACTGGTTTATAATCGAAATACAACTTGAAGGATTTTATTTCCATATTTTCATCCTTATGCTTTTATTCAACCAACTCTGATTTGATCTCATTAATGTTCTAGCAACATCTGTCATATAAAGAGGGATTCACCTGTCCCTTTCTTTGATAAAATCTTCAAAATAATCAATAAAACATGAAATATACATGTATTTCAAATGTAACCAAAGGTAAGTGGACAAAGAAAGAAATCTGCTTGCATGACTTGCCTCAATTAAAACTTCAATGATGCAAATGAATAATCAAAGGGCTGCAAGCTCTGTGGTATTTTCTGATCTTTGTAATCTAAATCGTACTGTATATCTGTATGTATTTTCCTGTATTTAGTTTATTTTTATGTACTATAATTCATCTTGTAAGGCACCAGAGTTTGATACATACGGAATTTTGCATAACTAGAGTTGCATCAAAAAATCATTTATGTTCATTTTTTATGACAGCCACACTTTATCCTTGCATATCATGGCTACTTCTTTAACAAAGACACTTAAAAAAGAATTAAAAAAAAAAATTGCCTCGACTCGGATTTGAACTTCAGACCTCTCACACACGAAACGAGCGCGTTACCAAGAAGTTATACAAACAATGCCTGAATGAAATTAAGTCATTCTAAATTTAGAATTCCATTGCATTTCGGGTTTGTAATCCTTATTAATTTCGAGGTATTTTGTTCAGGATAAACTTGCTGATGTTGTTTAAAATTGAAGTAAATAATTTAGCGAAAATCTTCTCGCCCAAACAGTCCGACATGTAGAATCTATATATTCCACTACTCGGCAGTCAGATTTATTTAATCGACATCGCTAAAATAGCATTTTCATTGATTAAAGTCATATTCATCCGCGTAATTTGTGATTGTGTATTTATTGACAATTCTATAAGCCAACGCCACTTTTAAGCTTTGAATGCATTGTAATTTGTTGGATACTTGTAACAAAATAAAAATATTTCTTTCTTTTAAATCGCTAGTTTTAAGCTGTTTTGAGAACTACTTGTTGTTAGGTCTGTCGTGAAATTCCGTGTCAGAGATTGAATGTCCGCTTTGTATTTTACTGATCTTCGATCAGAAAATACAAAAACAGGACTGATGGGTTGCTCAAAGTCAAAACTTTCCTAGTTTTAATTTAAATAAATCTAACATTGATATTGACAGTTAGGACAACATCAAATGTTAAACAAGAGCCATCGCCGGGCGGGGGCAAGGCTTGACTTTTTACTTTTTCTAAAAGCAAACAAAGAAAATTTTGAACAAATCTTAACGTTTCCTTTTTATAAATTTAATCGGTCTGTCTTGTCACATTAGTTTTGTCTATATATTTTATATATATAAATATACTCATTTATATATATATATATGCATTTATATACACTACACATTGAAACAGGCTCAACATTCGCATATATATAGAGTTTGTTCTCCGTTATCATGTCTCACAAATATAAGGTTATATATATATGTACACATGGTTATATATATATACACGCTTATATATACACACGGTTATATATATATATATATATATATATATATATATATATATATATATATATATATATATATATATATATATATATATATATATATTACGAGGGTTGTCCCAATATTTTGTGACAAGATTGTTTAAAAGCTAAATAAAATAGGCACAAATTTGATATTTTAATATGTTATAAACCCATATAATTAAAACGTTTTCACAAACTTACATAGAACAAAATTGCATTTGAGAAAAATGCTATGCCACTGCATTAATACAACACTACGTAGGAACAGATTTTTGTTTGTTTCTATACAATTGAAGATTGTCATAATGCCCCAATTTTCCCCCCTTGGGGGCCCCAAACCCCAAATTTTCCCCCTTTTACCAAAAAAATTTTTTTGGTTGAAAACTATTTTTTCCCAAAATAAGATCCCAAAAAGAAATATATTTAATGCATTTTTAGTCTAGTGAAAATTTTGGGGGGGTGATGGTCATATTTCACACAGCCTAAATTTCATGACTACATCAAAGGACAACACAGTTAGACACTTTGTCAAAATCTAGGTCAGCTGATATCAAAGTTCACTTTACATCTTAATCTGTGCACATGATTCAAATTTCATAGCTGTACATGAAAGGACAACAAAGTAGGTCACATCATCAAAATCTAGGTCACCTGATATCAAAGTTCAATTTTACAACTAAAACTGTGCACATGGTCAAAATTTCATTGCTGCACATCAAAGGACAAGAAAGTAGGTCACTGTCCCCTTGGGCAACCAAGGGTTTAATTCAAAACAATCTTGATACAGGTCCACCAAACAACATTTCAAGTTAAATATCTAAGCTGTAGCTTTCTCCCATTCAGAAAAAATTTGTTTTATTTTCTGTTTTTACTATGTGTACATAATGAGAATCACTGCCCCCGGGCAGGGCCAATTTTGACACTTGGGAAAAAATTTGAACAACTTTGGTAGAGAACCTATAGATGATATTATAAAGCAAACATCAAAACTCTATGCCTTGTACCTTCAGACAAAAATATTTTTTATTTTTTTTACTATATGTACATAATGAAAATCAATGACCCCAGGGGCGGAACCAATTTTGACCCCAGGGCTATAATTTGAACAATCTTGGTAGAGGTTCACTTCGCAAAGTCTCATGCCATATATTTAACCTCTAGCCTTTGTCAATTCAGAGAAGAAGATTTTTCAAGTTTTTACTTTATACTAGGAAAACTATCGCTTCTGGGGCAGGGCAATTTTAACACTAGGGGCATAATAAAACAACTTTAGTAGAGGACCCATAGATGATATTATATACCAAATATCAAAGCTCTATGCCTTGTACCTTCAGACAAGAAGATTTTTTCATTTTTTTACTATATGTACATAGTGAAAATCAATGACCCCTGGGGATGGGGCCAATTTTGACCCCAGGGCTATAATTTGTACAATCTTGCTAGAAAATCACTACACAATGTTTCATGCAAAATATCTTAACTCTAGCCTTTGTAAATTTGGAGAAGATGATTTTTTAATTTTTTACTATATACATATAAGGAAAACTATCCCCTCTGGGGCAGGGCAATTTTAACACTAGGGGCATAATTGAAACAACTTTAGTAGAGGACCCATAGATGATATTATATACCAAACATCAAAGCTCTAAGCCTTGTACCTTCAGACAAGAATTTTTTTTCATTTTTTACTATATTAACATAGTGAAAATCAATGACCCCTGGGGGAGGGGCAAATTTTGACCCAAGGGTAATAATTTGTATAATCTTGCTAGAGGTTCACTACACAATGTTTCGTGCGAAATATTTAACCTCTAGCATTTGTCAATTTCTAGAAGAAATTTTTTTAAAGTTTTTACTATAAGTTTTTACTATATACATATAAGGAAAACCAATGACCCCCGGGGCGGGGCCGATTTTAACCCCAGGGCTATAATTTGAACAATCTTGGTAGAGGTCTACCAGATAATACCTTATGCAAAATATCTATGCTCTAGGCCTTTCGGGTCTTTACAAGAAGGTATTTTAAGTTTTTACTATATGTTAATAAAGTGAAAATCAATGACCGCCGATTTTGATACCAGGGCTATAATTTGAACAATCTTGGTAGAGGTCTACCAGACAATGCCTTATGCAAAATATCTAAGCTCTAGGCCTTGTGAATCTTTACAAGAAGGTATTTTAAGTTTTTACTATAGGTACATATAGTGAAAATCAATGACCCCCAGGGGGGGGGGGGCAGATTTTGACCCCTGAGCTATAATTTGAACAATCTTGGTAGAGGTCTACGAGACAATGCCTTATGCAAAATATCTAAGCTCTAGGCCTTTTGGGTCTTTACTAGAAGATTTTTTAAAATTTATTCTTATAATTCCTTTTGGTTGCCATGGCAACCAGATTTCTGCATGAAATGAAATTCTTTGAACAACTTTGGAAGCCCTCCACCCAAGGATCATTCCTGCCAAGTTTGGTTGAAATTGGACTAGTGGTTTTTCACAAGAAGATTTTTTAAGGTCACTATATAATCTATATAACACACACACACACACACACACACACGCACACGCACACACACACAGGTATATCGCTATATGCCTCCGCATTGCAGATGCTGCGGTGGCATAAAAATATCAACTCGAAATAGTCACGAAACCTGAGTGACCTTTTCACTGCGCCGCAAATTCTTCGAACGT